ATATTTAATAATAATACAAACATGCATTGTATACAATCTGTAAATTAAACAGCTTAGCCTCATTGAATGCATCGGGTAGTTGCAATCAATCATTTCATATTTTTATCATTCATTTTCATGCATCTTTCGATATTTAAAATTTTTGCTTTTTGTTTCAAGTAGAGCACCAATAAAATGTAAAACAAAGTTTTTGTGGTTGTAAACAAGTTGCATTAATAAAAAGAAAAAAAATTAATTAAATTATTTACTTTAACAGGCTAGAAATAGGTTGACAGATCTGGCACAAACAACGAGTGAGTCAAACGCCGCTCTTACTCGTTTATTTGGGCCAAGATCAGGTTCTTTTTATAGTTGAGAGCTTTTTCATATAAGTATTTGTGTGTGTGAGAGAGTTGGTGTATGTGTGTGTGTCTCTTTTTTTAAAACGCTAAGCGTTCTCTAACGGTATTTGTTTTGCGCTTACAAACTACATAAATACACATCGAACATCGAAAATATTGATAGCGCATATCTATATGCAATAATAATAAAGGATTAATATTATAGCTTCAACCGACAAAAGGCAACGAGTAAGCAATTCGCTATTAAGACGATTGCCTCTGCTCAGTAAAAGCTCGCTGTTAAACTGAGATATTCGTTGCCTCCATTTACAGCGAGTGTTCTACTCGCATGCGATATCTGTGTTACTCGTTGCTCGCTTGTGGGCTGAGCTTACATTATCTGATATACGTACATATATAAATATATATAATATAATTACAAACAACAAATCACTACAAATTACTTCAACTGGGTTTTTAGTTTTCTCTTCTTGTTTTTGTTTTTGTTTTTGCTTTTGTTTACTCGCGCCTTGTTCGCTTCGGTCGCGTGGGCGTAAACGAATCGGTTGATGCGGCACTCGTTGCACTGCCTCCAATACTCGCGCCCTCTGTCGAGGCTATAGCTGTTATAGTCGCCGATATGGTCGCCGGCTGCCGACTATCTGTGCCACTGCCACGCACCTTGCGCGATGCCACCGACTGGGCGGTAACCTGCAGCGAAATGGCATGCGTGTTCAGCTTCTCGGCCAGCAGCAGATCCTTCAGCCCTTTCATTTTCTGACTATACAACGTGATCACTGGACGTTTAAGCATTATCTCGAATGGATCGTAATCATCAACAACTGCTGGCTGTTTGCTGTTCGCCAGCTCCAGTTGGCTGATCTCCTCCACTTTAGCTTCTTTGTGCTGCTGCTGCTGCTGCTGCTGCTGTTGTTGTTGCTCGTTGTTGTTGCTGTTGCTGTTGCTGTTAGCCTCATTGTTGCCGTTGTTGCTTATGGTTGTAGCCTCCTTTTCAGCATTATTGCTGCTGCTGGTGTTGTTATTGATGTGGTTGTTGTTATTGTGCGACAATTCGCTGGACGTTGTTTGCTCGGCTACCGCCTGTTGCTTTTGATCAGCGAACGGCTGACCGCCGCCCTGCAGCAGAAAATCGGGATTCAATATCTTTTCGCCACAAGCAGCTGTGAGATCCGCCAAGGTGGTTGGCAACTCCGATTTGGATTTCTGTGAGTTGAAACGAAAAAATATGATTACTTTGTATAGGCTATAAGAAGGATATAATGTTGTTGCTCTCGGAGATTAAATAGATATACAGATAGGATATAGAAAGGAAGCTTAAATAGACACACAATAGAATTATATACAGAATATCTGTATATGATTAAAATGACATATAACTATCCAAGGAATCATAGATCAAGCTGCAATATCCTTCCACATCCTTAGATTTGTACATATAGAATAAGGAAAATATCATAGGATACAGATGGAGAAAGGAATCTTCAACAGACAGACAATAAAATCTGAATCTGCGTCATCCTGACATTAAATATACATATATAAGAAAATATCATAGGAGGCAGACAAAGAAACTATCAGTAAAGAAGGAACCTTAAATAGACAAAAAATAGAATCTAAATGTGAATATGAACTTATTAACAATGATTATATGATTATCAATATATATCAATCTGCAATATCCCACCTCATCCTTCTTAACAACCGTGTTGTTATTGTTGTTGTTACCCTCCGCATGAAGCGACGCCTCGAGAGCTGCTGCTGTTGCTGCGGCTGTAGCTGCAGCTGTTGCCTTCTTCTTAGCCTCCAATGCTGCTGCCTGTTCGGCCTCCACATCCTCGGGCAGCTTGATGACCACCTGGGAGCGTATGTCATAGTCGAACTTGGTTATGTTCGTGACCAGCGGCTTGGCCCAGCCAATGTGCAGAATGGGCGTTAGGCTGTCCTCCTCCCACTGGCAGATGCCATCGTAGAAGCGCAACAAATTGGCAAACACCTCCGCATCACGCAAAATGCTGCGAGCCGAATGGCCCGAACTCTCCGTCTTCATCACATAGGGTATAAGCTCATTGGCAATATCCAGCAGCTCCTTGTAGATCTCCTCATCGTCGCGACACTGGTACGTATACAGGCGTATGACGTCGGCTGCATTCGCCCAGGCGGCGAAGGCTTCGCGATATTTGAGCAAACGATTGTAATAGTTGCCCTGAAAGATGTGCGGATAGACGTGATGATTGTGATAGTAGTTGCGCGAGGATTCGATTGCTTCGCGGAATAGCTGCTCGCAGGTGATGCTGCGATGCGTCCGATTGATCTCCTCCAGCTCGCCAAGCAGACCCAGCGCCATGGGGTACCGCTTCAGGTGGCCCAGATCGTAGAGTAGCCACAGTAGCTGCTGCTGCAGCTCCGCCACTTCAACGCAATCGCTGTTCGCACTGAGCGATATATTTAAGGCTACACAGATGGCAGCCACCTCCATGCCGCGCTCACAGATGACGGCCAGGCCGCCCAGGTACAACCACGAGCCGGACTCAATGCCGGCGCTAATGTCCTGGCCACGCTTATCCTCGCTGCCCTTGCCATGCCAGGTCACCTCGATGCTCTCCACGTGCTTCTGCCCGAATACGACCCACGCATGATCCTCGGATATGGCCAGGCGCACATCGCGATAGCCCAGTAGCTGGCAGCCGGCGGTCGTGGCCAGCGCCACGCCAAAGCAATCCAGCTTGTTTCCGGACAGATAGCTATACAGATTCTGCAGATGGGCTCGATCCTTGTAGCTGCTGCGTATCAGCGAGTTCCAAATCACGTCCGACACCTTCTTGATGATCTCCCGCGTCGCCTGGCGATGTGGCTTCGGTTTGTCCACCACCGACAATATCGTCTGGAACTTCTTGTACAATCCGGCAATCAGCTCGTGGGTCACCACAGGAAAGGGCACGCTGTTGCCCATGATTACCTCATTGCTGCCACCTAAAAATTGCCAAACAAAAAAGTAATAATTAAAATGATATCAAAATTGCATTACAATACAACTAAATATGATAAATTGTTAAATATAAATAAAATAATGGAAT